AATTCAAATATTAGACACACAGAAGATGAAGCTTCTCCAAAGACCTCAAAAACTCCACAAGAGACTCTTATTTCTGATGGTCTTTTCTCAGCAACTGAAGAGCAGGATCCATCACTTCTGGCAGAAGTCACCCCAGATCCCTACATAATGAGTCTTCAGAACCTGATGAAAAAGTCAAAGGAATATATAGAAAGAGAACAATCTAGACGCAGTCTGAGAAGCAGTATAAAAAGGAGTGTTAATGAAAGTCATTCAGACAAAGAAAATGAAGCCGTTAAGGTGACTGATTATGTAAAAGAGAAGGCCCAGTTGATAGGCAAACACTGTGGCTCAATTATTCCTGACAAACCAAGCCTTAATAAATCAAATGTTCTTCTCCAAGGTGCTTCCACTCAAGCATGCAGCACGAATATGTCAGTTTTAGCTAGCTTTTCTAAAGTGGACATACCTATACCAACTGCCCATTCCACTGTTCTAGATTCTGATTCTGATTTTAAAGCTATTCCTACTTTTGTTACTGAAAATAATATTATCAAAAGTCATACAGGTTCATATGCCAGATTACCTAGTCCAGAGCCAAGTATGAGTCCTAAAATGCATCGAAGGCATTCCAGGCCATCATCAGCATGTCATATACTTATAAATAACCCAATAAATGCCTGTGAATTAAGTCCTAAAGGGAAAGAACAGGCAGTGGATATAATTGTTCAAGATACTGATGAAAAAACAAATGTACCTGAAACCGTGCCAAAGTTACCAACTGATTTAACAGGAGTTTGTGCAAGCAAGGTTTATGTCAGCAAAAATATGCCTGAAGCCATTGAGGATATGGTTTTAGGTAAATCAAATCAGGTATGTCAATCTTCAGGAAATCAGTTAGAAAATAAAGTTACTCATGGACTTTCTGCTGTGGAAGATCAATTAATATCTGATGAGAGAGGAGCACACAAAATGAACAGTACTTGTACTGCAGTGTCAAAATTGCATGAACCTTATGCTACCAGTCAGTGTATAGCAAGTCAAAACTTTGGAACTGTGAGTGGACTCAAGTCAACCAGTATGTTAGAGAAAAACTCCTGCAATTTACAAATGGAACTGAATAAGTCTTATGATGTAAAAAACCCATCCCCTTTACTAATGCAAAACCAGAATACCAGACAGCAGATGGACATATCTATGGTGTCCTGTGGAAATGAACACTTTTTGGATAACAGTTTTGAGAAAGCTAAACGGAGACTTGATTTAGATATTGATAGTTTGCAAAAAGAAAACTGCCCTTATGTCATAACTGGAATAGCAGAACAGGAAAGGCAACATTTGCCAGAAAAAAGATACCCTAAGGGATCTGTTTACATCAACAAAAATAAAATGTTAGAAAGTAGTTCCAAAGGTAAGGAAACTTTGAAGTGTTTGATACCTACTGTACAGAAGACAATTTTATTTTAATACTTTTGACATTTTACAAAAAAAATTGTCTTCATCTAAGGGCATTTAATTTCATTTATCTTGTTAGAGGGTATATAATTAGCTACAGTTTATTGCCATTTGATAGCCTTTCTTAAAGAATTTTATTTGAATGATGAAGCTTTCATAGTCCACTTGGTGTTATAAAGACTATTAGTAATGACTGTAGGCAACAGTTTTGCATGAAAAAATCATTCATAGTTTTAATATAGTGTATTGCTATGAGGTCTTCCTTTTGGACTTCAGTTTCTAATGTTTTTGTTAGTTTGCTCATTCATTTATAATGAGATCATGTAGTTGGCCCTTCAGTAAACCCTTTAACATCAAATTAGAGAAGGTATCAAGAATGGTTCTTTATTGATAAAAAGTATTATTTCAGGTTTCTCTTGCATCCAGTGTTAGCCACACCATGTCTTTCTTCTTCATTAGTCTTTGTTGTCATGGTTTACAATTCATTATTGATACAGAAGACATAAATCAAATAAATTAAGTTCTTAGGGCTTACGGGAAAAATAGGGTTGGGGCAGACCACTTAACCTGGGCAACTTTCTAAGAGCTGTAATAAAAGTAACAATTGGTACTTGGGGATCCAACTTGGATCCTCCAAGTAGACAACACAGTATGGCTAGAGGTTGCCTCAGTAAATGTCAAAAGTACACAAAAACAACGGAGTGGCAAGTCTGGCAGTACCTTAGTAAGCATGTGCAATGAAGCCAGTCACCGAGGTGACCGGAGTAGCTGTCAAAGCAGGCAGGGGAAGCAGTGCAATGCGCAGTGTGCCTCACCGCTTCCTAGTCAGTAACCGTGTGTAGGCACAATGATTCTTCTTAATACATGTTTTAGTTATTACCTAAAATATCTGGACTTTTAATATCCTATCTTTTTTGGAACCGCAAGCTGAGAAAGCTTTACACCATCAAAGGGACATTTACTTTAAAAATCAAAACGAAGCAAAACCACAAGCTCCAATACCAGAGATCCTGGAGAAGGATAAGAATCAAAAGAATGAATTAGCAGTGAGATGCAGTTGAGGACCACATCTTGGAAGTTAATTATGAGTCAGGAGAATGTTGCCTAAACATAGAGTCTTGGCTTCATCAGTTCAGATCTTTTTTTTTTTTCCTTTTTGTCTTTTTTCATGACCGGCAACGGGATCGCAACCCTCGGTGTTGCGCCCGCACCTCGCTCAGCCAGTGAGCCGCCGGTCTGTATGTGGGATCCGAAGCCTCCGTGGGAGCACCGCCGCGCTTCCCAAGCGGCGCACTGTAGCAGTGCGCCACCAGGCTGGCCCCATCAGTTCAGATCTTGATGGGCTGTGGTGAATGAGTGGGGAAAGGTGATGAGATACAGCCCTTTCTTTGTTGCGTAGCAGGAAATAAGAGTGGCAAATGATAATGTGGTTCAAAGTGGAGACCTGGCTGTCGTGACAGTGTTATGGCAGATCCAGGAATACTTTCTGGTCAGGAGCATAATTTAAATTGATGGTATAAAATATCAGATATTAGACTTGTAGTGAATTTTCTAAACTTGAAGGGGACATGTTTCTTTTCAGAAGGCGAGGAGATATTAAAAAGCAAGATGTTAGCTTTTGAAGAAATGCGGAAGAGATTAGAAGAACAGCACGCCCAGCAGTTATCACTACTCATCGCTGAGCAGGAAAGAGAACAGGAAAGATTACAAAAGGTGAGGAATTAAAATGTAGGGGGATAGGACTGGTAAGTGAAATTTAGCCAAGGATACTTATGAATTTTGGTCATATATAAAATACTTGTAATTTTTCCCCATGTGTATCTTAATCTAAGGGGTCATTGATTTTGATACATGGATGGTATTTTTATTGTCAAAATGTGAGATTTAATATTTAGATGCTTACCTAAAAGTAATTGCATAATTTATCAAAAGGAAACTTTACTGATCCTTGATTCAAAACTTTTAATATTTTTAAAAGGTATCTTATAGATGCTGAAATACACATTCTGCAAGAGCTATTACCATAAAGACACTTGTTATAAGGTTATTATAGTTAGTATCACACTTGAAAATCAATTAAATGAATTGTCAAATTCAAATAATTTTATTTGAGGGAGGAAAAGTTGAAATAAATAATAATTTGCTGATAATTGCACATATTTTGGCTAAGCCTAAAAAATACTATTTTGGGATAATTAAACAAAAGATCTAGCATGTTGTAATAAACTATTAATTTACAGGAAATAGAAGAACAGGAGAAAATGTTAAAAGAGAAGAAGGTGATTACAGCTGAAGCCTCTGAATTGGATATTAACAATACGGTGGAGTTAGAATGGAGAAAAATAAATGACTCTAGTTTGCTAGATACAATGCTATCTCAAGTGGATTCCCTCCATACTTCAAATTCAAATAGTTCTGGTAAATATTTAAAAATCCTTTTCCATTTGAAAAAATTATCCTGCATAAGGATAATTATCCTAAAATAAGACATTTTATTTGGCATACTTTAAATTCTAGCTCCTTTCTTTAAGTAATTCCAAACCCACTGCTGTTTGCCACCTGCTTAGTAACCAGTGAAAAATGAAATGATAGCAGGTCAAGGACTGGTGAGTAGGTGTTCCTGAGAAAAGACTACCAAGGAAAATATCAGGAAATTAGGCTCAGAGCCCAGTCTTTGTTCATTCATGCAGCAGGTGATATGCTTCGAGTGAAAACAGTTTGCTATCTCCCGAGTGATCTTGAATTACCTCTAATTCCCCAGTCCCTGTGAGAGCTTATCTTCACATCTTCAATTATCCTGAGATGCTATTTGTGTTGAAAAGATCCATCTGTTGCATAAGCTTAATGTGCATAAAATTTTAAGTTTGCATGTGGATCAGTTTCAGAGGCATTGTTATTCTTAATGAATGTCACAAGTGTTTATTTGGATGTTCTGAATATTCTGATTATATGACATCAAGTATAATACTATGTGTATATTTCTCTAGGTTTCACAAATTCTGCCCTACAATATAGCTTTGGTTCTGCAAATGAAGCACCATTCTACCTCTGGGGATCATCAAGTAGTGGCTTGACCAAACTCTCAGTAACAAGGCCTTTTGGAAGGGCCAAAACTAGATGGTCTCAGGTGGGCAAACTTAGTGATATATGTCTGTCTGTGTCTGTTTATATTTTTTTAAGAGCTACATTATCTTAGGCTGTACAAGTAAGTGTCAGTATTTTTTGCCATACATCAAATAGCTTAGCTTTTAGTAGAGGTGAAACTACAGAGAGCAAACATGGTAGAGGAATTTAGTTCACTGTAAGAGATTAAGAAAAACAATTGAGTGTAATGCTTGCATTCTTAAAACATTGTATCTGTCTTATTTCTCCTAGGTTTTTAGTCCAGAAGTACAAGCAAAATTTAACAAAGTAACTGCAGTGGCAAAAGGATTTCTTACTCGTAGGCTTATGCAGACAGATAAGCTGAAGCAACTTCAACAAACTGTAAAAGTAAGATTGTCGTAAATTGTATTTCACTTTTGTCTTAGTTTCTATCAGTCTTGTGATAGCTGAGCTGACAGCATAGTTCAGAATTTGGGCAGATCAAACATTTTTTTTGTCACTGTAATATAGGTAATTTTATAAGTCTGATTATAAATATTACTTAGATACTCTTAAAAATAATATGTAAATGAAGTAGTTTGTGTGTTTTTGTTTCACTTTAAAGTGAGTACTATTTGACTTTTAATAAGTAATAGTTTTATGTTCTTAGTAATTTTGTATTGAGCAAGACGAAGAACAAAAGGAAACTCCAGTGATCAAAAATCTTTCTAAAGAAATGTTTGTGAAGGAGCATTTTTTTTTTTCAGGATACTATGGAATTCATAAGGAATTTTCAGTCAGAAGCACCATTAAGGAGAGGTGTTGTTTCAGCACAAGATGCTTCACTTCAGGAAAGAGTGTTAGCTCAGGTAAGTGTACACATCCCAAAGGCTTTTAAGAAATGGAAATGTATATCTCTGTCTCATTTAATCACTGAAAATAGGTTTTAATGAAAACTACTTTAACCTTTTCCTCTAAATAAAAGAAGTATACATAGTATTACTGAATTCTAACCTTATCTTTTAAATGCATACAATATTTTCTTCTTTGGAACCTAGTTACGAGCTGCCCTGTATGGTATTCATGACATATTCTTTGTAATGGATGCAGCTGAAAGAATGTCTATTCTACATCATGATCGAGAAGCTCGCAAAGAGAAAATGCTCAGGCAAATGGATAAAATGAAAAGTCCACGAGTGGCTCTTTCAGCTGCAACACAGAAATCTCTTGATAGGAAGAAGTACATGAAAGCTGCTGAAATGGGAATGCCAAATAAGAAATTTCTGGTTAAACAAAGTCCTTCTGAAACAAGAGTCCTTCAGCCAAACCAAGGACAGAACGCACCTGTTCATAGGCTACTTAGTAGACAAGGGAGTATATGCAGGAAAAACCCAAAGAAAGCAGCCAAATGTTGCGACAATTTAAGAAGACAACATTCATTAGGATAAAAAAGGGGGAGAATTATTATCCATATTATTTTCCTGGCTCAAGACTTTGTAGTTAACCCTGACTCTGTTTACACAGGCAAAGTGACATCAAAGGGCTCAGCAATTATCTGGATAATTTAGTCAGTCTGGCCAATTCCTGCCCCACACCCCCATTTTCCTCTTAATATTAGGTTTTGGTGAAGACAAAAATGTGTTTAGTAATTGCCTCATCTCTATGCTTAACCTATAAAACATAAGTTTGTTTTATGTGCTCAGATGTCTACAGAGACCCTTTTTGTAAACTTAAAGGACATTTGGATTTATTTTTACAAAATATTGAAGTGATATGACAAATTATAAATAAGTTGTAAAACAAATTTCATTCATTTCTACCTGCTGATTGCTGAATTTGGTAAACAAATTAGACACTTCTATTCAAGGGGGAATTATTGTAGGAGAATGTTTTTCTCTGGCTTTATAACTTTAAAAACTAGGATTAGTCTCTCAGTGTCCATATTCTTCTATTTACAAACAGTATAACCACTTACCTGCTGATTCTGGTCCACTTAAAATCTGCTACTAAAGTAGCTGTGGGTCCTGTCAACAACTAGTTGTCTCACAGAAATGTTAGGTTTCACAGATATAACCCTAGTACCATTTGAAACATTTGTACTAGATAAGATTTTTTTATGGAGGGTAACAAATTTGGGGAAGATAGCACAATCTTCATGAATGTAGCACTTAATGCATTATTACATCCATTTCTGTAAAATAAGAATAATGTGTTGCATGCAGTTATATTTTCTATTTAGTCTGTACATTTTGTTTCTTCGTAGTATGCTTTTTCTGGCATGCTTGATTTAGGAGAGAATAAAGGGCTACAGAATATAATAATAAATCTGTATTTCAAATGGGATTAGTAATGTTGCCTAGTTAAAATTCTGCATTACTTAAAGGCACTGATGGTTAAGGTTTTTCATCATTAACATATTCATTTAAAGTATCAACCAAAAAATGTTACCAAGAGAACATGATTTTATGAAAGAGAATATCACTGTTAATTTATCATACCATTTCCAAAAAGGTCTTTGTGCATCTCACATAAAATTGGGACTATGTATATTTAATCTTTCTAACTTGAGTTTTAAAGAGATACTGGTATTTTGAAAATGCAGCGTATATATATTCTTAATATCCTTTTAAGAATATGGAGATAAAGATTGTTTCTTTGATTTCTGTTCCATTTAAAATTTAACTTTTACATTCAGTTGTAGACAGAAAATAACCTACTCTGGCTGTAAACTTGGTTTTCTTTATTGAGATGTATCATTTATTGAATGAGTGAACTACAAAATTAGAAGACAGTCAAAAAAATCTGAGTTACCAATTTTTTATTTGTAGGCAACATATATCAAATTATTATCTTCTTAATATGATAAACTATGTTTTATCATTCTGAAAACTCAGGATACGTCTTACTTATATAATAAAGATAGATGCTAAAAGTTGTGTGTATACTAATGCAAATTAGTTAAAACAAATAGCATGTTTTGGAGAAAGTTAAAACTAGTTTTAGATTAAGGATGAGAAACTTTAGTGTGTTTTTAATTTAAAGGTAAAAGTGTGTGTGTTTTACACATTTAAAATTTTTCACAGGTTTTTCTCATAAAAGTGCCAGACACTGTTTTGTGCTTTTGATGGATTTTTATTTATATACATTATTTTTATTATTATTATTTTTACTTTGAGTGGAATGTCCTTTAATGTAAATGTATTTATTTTTATACTTTAATTTTCACTAGTTTTGCTTCTAGGCAAAAGGCAAAATAAACTTTTCATCTCAAAGGAAATCCAGTTTGATCTTTTTTATTTATCAAGGAAAGGACTATTAAGGAATAGTTATTGAAAAATATCTGGCCCAAACAATATTGTAAAATGATCATGTTTTACAATTAAAAGTCCCACAGAAGGTATATACCTGTACTTAATATGGGACCTTTACCAGTGTTTAGTTCAGCATTTCTGTTTGTTTGTGGGTTTCTTTGTATTTCTTTGTTTTATTTTTGTGTTTCTCAGTTCAGCATTTGAGTTTGCATGAGGTGGACTTTTCAGAAGGCAAAAGTTCACTAGAGCTGGAAATGTCTTAGCTTATTAAGAGCTAGAAGCCTACTAAGGAGTGAATGGGGAAGTAGAGGCAGAAGAGAGCATGCTAGGGTTGAAGCTCACATCAAAGCTGCTAACTTGCACAGCTTTAAGAATCCTGATCTTGTTACTACCTAATCATCTAATGCTAGCATAGTGACATGCTTATTTTCACCTGTTACTGAGGAGATCTTCCATTTGATAATCTTCAAGGCCATGTGGGAAGAATCCCTCACTGTCCTCTGGCCATCCTTAAACTCTTGTTCACTTCATACATCGGGAATAGTGGATATGACTGGAGACTCCTTATTACTCATACTGAGCTGAAAACCGAAGGACCCATTCTGGAGATGAAGATCCTTTTCTTCCTTCAGAAGTCATTGTTCCATGAACAACCACAGACTACCACCCCTGAATAAAAAGTAACAGTTATAAAAACATAAGAAAATGGAGTTGGAATGCTTCATCCCTCAGGGACCATAGTGGGTATCTATGTAGTTTATAAAAAGTAATTTTAAAAAACAGAAGAGACCTATAGTCATTGAATACAGTAAGTCAAACTGGGCTACGGTACGATAGAATCACTTCCGTGGTGAGGTTCAACAATAGCTCTGAGGGCAAAAATCATATCTTTCAAAAATTATACTCGACAATAAAATATTACCTTTTCACTTATTTATCTATTCTCTTCCTTCTTTGATCAGTGGTTCTCTACGGCCATCAGTTTCTCTCTTTCTTGAGGATGTTGGCAAAGTTGCTTCCAGAACCATGGTTTTGCTTTATGGTGGGGAAAATCCCTTAGTTGTACATACTTTCCATAAATTTAACAACCTGTTTCAGGATTACTTCTGTTACTGTTTCATATACATGATATAGCAGGGGTTTGTTTGAATATGCCTAAGAGCACATGACACTGCCTCTGCTCTACTGCTTCCTGAATTCTGTGGCACTCTTTCACCACCCACAATTGCTACAGTCCCTCATATCCAAAGGGACCACCTGCAGCAGTGCCACCTGGGAACGTATCAGAAATGCAGAAGCCCAGGCCTGGCCCCAGATCTACTGCCCCGGAGCCTGCATTTTAATACTATCCCCCAGGTAAATGGTGTAAACATTCAAGCGTGAGAAGCACGCTTTATGATAGATTGCACAGCACGTTGTCACGGTGAGAAGCACTCTGAAAACCCAAAGATCACAGACGTACAATATGCTGCTTTCGCTCGCCTCATAAAGTTCAGCTTCTGTTGAGTACTGACCACGTGCCAGGCATTTTATAATCGTCTCCCTTCACCTTAAAGTCAGAATTATCCTAATGTCACAGATGAAAAAACTAGGACTGGGTGGAAAATTACATATTCCATCAGATTTGAAAGTACATTCTATTGCCTTTTCCAGAGGAACCGATTTGACAATGTAGTTTTCTAACCTCCTGTCAGAAAAGACACTCGAGAAAAAGGAAAAAAGCGAAGATCAAATACTGCTTTGGGATTGACCAGCGGTCTCTTCCATTACTCTGGTTTGGAGTTAAGAGTTCAAATCTTGGTTCAGGCACTAAGAAGCTTTGGGCAATTCACTTTTTGTTTGTTTCAGTTTTCCCCAAATAATGGTATTTATTTCAGAGGTTTGTAGTGAGGAAAGGATGAAGGGTGCATGCAAAGTGCTCAGCACAGTGCCTGACACAAGCAGTGAGCATTCCGTAAATGGTAGCTGTTTGGAAAATATCCTGTGATTTATCCACTTTTTAAGAAAGCACCTAAATTCTGTGGTCGAAATAGATATCCATCCTCACAGAAACCTACAGCTTTGCTAAGTGGGGTGAAATGCTAATCCCAATTTCCCCATTTGGCCTATCTCTAGTTAAGTTCCATTTAATCCTAGCTGGATCTAGGGCAACCCTTACACACCTAGGTTGTTGGTTGTGGGAGGGGGATACTGGAAGTCCCAACTCCCACAAAGCACAGAGGGTAAAGCGGAGGCCTAGAGAAGGGCGCGGCTTATCCCGCCGAACAGCGCATTAGCCGCAAAGCCACGCACCAGCTGAACCCGAGAGCTTCCTACCCGCAGCAGCAGGTTGTGTCTTCGCTCCGCCGGTGTCTGAAGTCCTCTCCTCCCCTAGAGGGCGCAGGTGGGCTGGGCGGCCGACAGCACAGTCGTGCCCCTCCCCATCATGGCGCTGGTGGGCGTGTTGTCCACCAGAGCAGTCAGCTGCCCCTCACGACCACGGCGCAAAGAAGTTCTGCGCCCCTCACAATCATGGCGCCGGCGGACGGCGCAGCCCGGGCTTTGCGGGGCTGGCAGCTGCCCCTCACAATCATGGCGGCCGGGGCGGGGCGGGGTCTGGACGGGAGCAGTGGGTCTGCTAGCCCCAGAGTGAGCGGTCATGTGACCGGGAAGATGGCCGCCTTTCCCTGGTAAGGAAGACGCGGCAGGTGGGCTTTGGGGAGGGGCTGTGTTTAGTTGTCCTTGGCGTCTCTCTGTCTTTGTAAGCACTGGCCTCTCTGTTGGGTCCTGGTGGCCTCCTACCCCACCCCGAGTCGTCTGGACCCCAGAATCCCCGGCCGCTGCCGCGGTCCAGAGCAACCTAAAGCCGGACCGGTGGGTTCTTGGTTCTCTCCCCGTCTGTCCCTTCCCCGCGCCTTCCACGGCCCCCTCTCCATTCATTCCCTAAAGAAAACTCAAGTTTCCAGGCTTCCGTTTCCCGAGAAGTCCCGCGGGCTCTGGCGGCGCTGGATGAGGAGAATGGTGGACTCAGCTCTTGAGTCTGGACGACTCGGGAGACCTGGCTGTTGGTCTGGTTCCTGAGATACTCAGTTTCTCTGTTGGAGACTTTCTTTTCTCATCTGTGGAATGGCCGCCATTCATCCTACTCTGCGCGGAGCCTTCAGACGTGTTGCTTGGCCTCAGGAGCTGACAGTATAACGGAGCATCCACTCAGTAGAGGGAAGACCAAAGAAGGCACTCGGATGAGGCACCCCCCTGGGGACTCGGGGAAAGCTTCAGAAAGGAAGCCTTAAATTGGGTCTTGAAGGATGAATAGGAGCTCACCATGCAAGAGGGAGTGGCGTATGCCGAGGTTGACAGGCCTGTGGGGCTCTAGTGGCTGGAGTAGTGTCAACTTAACTAAACAGATTCTCCAAATATATTGAGTTTATTCGGGAGTGCGCGAGGGATTTGCAGATCTGGGCTTTGCAGGCTATGGGGACCATAGATAGGCATATCCAAAAAGGTTGAGGCAAGGGGAAGCTTTTAAAGGCAAAAGAGAAGAGTACATGTGATTTGTTTTGAAACAAGGAGAACATTAGTTACAGGGGCTTATCGCAGGAGTTGATAGCAGTTCGCTAGTGGGCTAGGCAAGTGTTCTCGTGCATCCGGCTAGCTGTCCTTGTAACTAATGTAGTAAGCTCAGCTTAGAAAGTCTTTGGCAAAAGTTCCGGTTACAGGCATTTGTGCCTAAGAGCCCTTCCGAGAATTTTGCCATAGGTATGCCCTCCCTTCTGAGCCTCCCGGTTATATTTATTTTTGTTAGGGTTTGACACAAGTGACACCATTTTGATTCTGACAACTATCACCGTAGCTAGGAGTGACTGGAGCTTCAGGCTCCCACCAGTGACAGGTGTGCATGAAGAACTGGAGCAAGTTGTGATGCTGATGGTGGGATTATTTGGGGACGAAGGATCTCTCTTGCCTCTCAAAAAGGGAGACATTTTTCTGATCTTTCTCTAAATGTGAAGTAGCTTATTGGATGAATGAGTGAGTGAGCAAATGAAAGAATGTACAGCTTTAGATCTTAGAAGTCAGGTACAACTTTCCGGTTTTATATTGTTTACTCCGTATTCCTTCAGTTGTCTACTTAAGAGGCCACTTTTTTGACACTAAATCAGCATTGGATACGTCTGAGCTTTTCCATGCCTTGAGGTTATTTTTAACCCTAGTCATGCTGGCTTGACCAAAAGACTAATAATCATTGTTTTGAGACTCAGTAAGGCTAAAGGACTGAAAACAAGAGAAACGTTTGGTTTCAATGAATTTATCTGGAATTTGTAATCAGAACATCCAGGAAGATGCTGTCTTAATCTCTGCAACCCAGTATCTTTGGTATTTTTATTTTAAATCACAGAGAGGTGTCATAAATCTTCGTGTGTAGGGTCTCTGTAGTTCCTTATCTGGCTATGCTCTAAACATTTCTCGGTGTGGTAGCTCATGGTCATCTTTCCGTTTCCCCACTAGACTCCTTAAAAGTTAAAAGGACTGAGTTTTGTCCATCATTGTATCCCCGGTGCCGAGAACGATGATTGAAGGTTCTCCGTAATGTTTATAATGAATGAGGAAACTGAGGAGGACCACAGAGGAGAATGTGTTCCTGTCATTAAGTTTACATTTATCAAGTCCT